TTTATTTTCAAGTAATCTCCACACCAACATGGGGCTCAAACTCACAACCCCGAGATCAAGAGTTGCATGCTCCACCAACAGCACCAGCCAGGAGCCCCAAACCTCACTTTCATGTCACTTGTTTCCCTTACAAGTTTTGGATATTTTTCTACTTTTCAACCTAGCAAATCTCACTTTAGATATTTAAGGCCCTCTATATCAGCAGAGCCTACCCATTCTATTTTCTATTCTCATTACCCCCTGACATAATTTCTCCTCAAGATAGGCAAATCTTTCCAGTTGTTTTCCATAGTCCTTCCTGTTCATATTGTTCCTTTCAACTGCATGATCTTGCCTTTTGCTTTAAGGGCCTGTCCAAATGATTTTGTCTCCATGAGATCTTATGCTCGACCTCTAGCTTTAACTCACCCATATCCTTACCTCTAATGACTTACAGTGCATAATTAAACACAGGGTTATATATTACCTATTATTCATTCATATCAAGTCCCTATTCAAATTTAAAAAAATTATTGAGGGGACTTCTGGTCCCAGACAAGATGGCAACTCTCCTCACTTTCCCCTGTTCCTCCCCTCTAACTACAACTAAATACCCTGGAAGTAATTCAACAGGCAATTATGAAGACTGAAAGCTAGAAAGAAAAGGTGAACTGTCTAGGAGCCTTAGGACTTAAGAAAGGTCACAGCAGTGAGTTCCCTGGTTTTCTTTTTATCTTCCATGTAGCTTAGACTGGGCACCAGAGAGACCTGCATCCCAGGCCCACTAACAGGCACAGGGGAAAAAAAAAGAATTAAGAAAAGCTTGCTGTCTCTTGCCAAAGACTGGTAGAGGGGGAAGAACAATGGGAGACCTACTGAGGAACCCTAAGCCCCACTCCACACCTGGGGCGGTAGCAGACTATCCAGTCTCCAGGCCCTCTACCCAAGGGCATAAATAGATCCAGGTCTGGCATCTCCTAGCCATCTGCCCAGTGGTGGAGAACAAAACAGGCCCTAAGTTGCTTGTTCTCCTACCCCTACTAGTGGAAGGCAGCTCAGCGAGACAGGGCAGCACAGAGTCTTTCCCCATGCAGGTGACACCAGCATAGATTCAACAAGAACTGCAGCAAGGGCAAAGAACAAAGCAGAGTTAACAGCACTGCAAGGACACTGAAAACTAAATTGTTACCAGGCCAAGAACCAATAGGTTAAAACTAAGCATGGCAACTGCCTATTAAGATAGAAAATTTGAATAGTAACAAGAGTCTTAGCATAATACCCAAAATACCTGGGATACAATCAAAATTATCCTAGCACAATATCCAAAAATATCCAGGATACAATGGAAAAATCAATTATCATACAAAGAACAGGAAAATAATCATTTGATTCATAATTTGAATCTGACAATTTCTGGATTATATATCCAATATCCAAATGAATCAGAATTTGGATTATCAAAGAAGGATTTTAAGCAGCCATCACAAAAACGCTTCAATAAGCAATTACGAATTTTCTTTCAACAAGTGAAAAAAAACAGAAAATCTGAGCAAAGAAATGGAAGTTATAAACAAAGAATTAAATGCAAATTACAAAACTGAAAAACACAATAATCAAAATAAAAAAAACTTGCTGGGTGGGCTTAATAGTAGAGATGACAGAGGACAGAACCACCGAACTTGAGGACAGACCTAAAATTTACTCCATCTGACCAAAAGAGAGAAAATAGACTGAATAAAAGAATAGAGCCTCAGAGATCTATGGGTCAACAACAAAAGATCTAATATTAGTATCAGAGTTGCAGAAGTGGGAGAAAGAGTGTGGGTCTAAAAAGCATTTAAAGAAATATAGCTAATCCCCGCCCCCAAATTTGGTTTTTAAGAAGCTGAGAAACTCCAAATAGAATAGACCCAAAGAAATCCACACAAGGACATGTCATAATTAAACTTCTGAAAAGACAAAGAACCTTAAAATCAGAGAAAAGATTAATTCTCTGTAGGCAAATACCCATTTGAACAACAGTGAATTATTCATCTGACCCATGGGAGCCAGAAGGAGGTACATTTTTCAAGTTCTGGTAAAAAAAAAAAAAAGGACTGTAAGCTGTGCATTTTATTTTATTTTTTAAGATTTTATTTATTTATTTGGCAGAGAGAGACAGCGAGAGAGGGAACACAAGCAGGGGGAGTGGGAGAGGGAGAAGCAGGCTTCCCGCTGAGCAGGGAGCCCGAAGTGGGGCTCAATCCCAGGACCCTGGGATCATGACCTGAGCCGAAGGCAGGCGCTTAACAACTGAGCCACCCAGGCGCCCCAGCTGTGAATTTTATCTCTTATAAAATTGTCCTTCAGAAATGAAGGGGAAATAAAGATATCCTCAGATGAGGAAAAACTAAGAGAATTTGTTGCCAGCAGATCTTCCCTTAAAGAATGGCTATAGAAGTTCTCCAACAGAAAAGAAACAGCAGAAGAAGTTTTGGAACTTCAGAAAGGAAAGAACAGGATGGGTAAAAATAGAGTAAGTATGAGAGACTATCTTTCTTGTCATTAGTTTCTTAAAACATATTTGATGGTTTAATCAAAATTTATGAAATAATCTGATATAACCATCTGATATAAAACAATTGTATTTAAAAAGTGGGGGAGGGTAAAGGGACCTAAATGGAAGTAAGTCAATACTTCAATCAAGTGATAATAAAACACTTGTACCAGTAGGTGGTGATGAGTTACGTATGTATGTAACTACAAAAAAAAAGAACAATCAAAAAGAAAGCTATATAGAGATATACTCAGAAAAACAAATATAGAATTCTAAAACTGTCCTAGTAATCTATAGGAAGGCAAGCAGAGATAAACAGGTTAAGAAACAGAAGGAACAAGCAGAAAACGAACAATAAGATGCCAGACTTAAGTTCTAATATAGCAATAATTACTTTAAATGTAAATGCACTAAATATATCAGTTAAAAGACAGAAATTGGCAAAGTAGATTTAAAAACACAACCCAACTATATGTTGTCAATAGAAACTCACTTCAAACACAATGATATAGGAAGAATGAATTTTTGTAAAAGGATAGAAAAAATATATTTTGCCAACATTAGTTAAAAAATGGGAGTGGCTATATTAATATGAGAGAACTAGACTTTAAAGCAAAGAAAATTATTAGGGACAAAGAGGAACACTACTTAATTATTAAAGGATCAATCTACCAAAAAGACACAGTTATCCTAAATGTGCATACATTAAACAAGAGCTTCAGAATACATGAAACAAAAACTGATAGATCTGAAGGGAGAAAGAGGCAAATCCACAATTATAACTGGGGACTTCACTGCCCCACTCTTAGCAACTGATAGACTACTAGGCAGAAAATCAGCAAAGATATACAACTGAAAAATATAATCGACTAACAAGTTCTAACAGGTATTTATAAAACACGCCACTAAACAAAGTAAAATACACAGTTTTTTCCCCAAGTACCCATCGAACATTCACCAGGATAAACCATATCCTGGGTCATAAAACAAATACTAAAAATTTTAAATGAATTGAATTCATACAGAATATCTTTTCTGACCATAATGGAATTAAACTGGAAGTCTCCAAACACTTGGAAGTTAAAGAAAATACTTTTTTTTTTTTTTAAGATTTTATTTATTTATTCATGAGAGAGAGAGAGGCAGAGGGAGAAGCAGGCTCCCAAGGAGCAGGGAGCCCGATGCGGGACTCGATCCCAGGACCCTGAGATCATGACCTGAGCCTAAGGCAGACGCTTAACCATCTGAGCCACCCAGGCGCCCTAAAGAAAATACTTTTAAACAATAATAGTTACAGTAATCAAGACAGTGTGGTATTGGTCAGGGAGAGAGACATAAATCAACAGAATAAAATAGAGGGCTCAGAAATGGATCCACACAAAAATGCCCAACTGATTTTAATAGCCTTTTCAACAAATGGTGCTGGAGTAAATGGACATCTATAGGGGAAAAAATGAACTTCAACCTAAACTTCACACCTTACACAAAAATTAACCTGGATCAAAGAATTAAATGCAAAAGACAAAACCACAGTTCTTTTAGAAAAAAAGACAACAACACAGAACTTGACACTAATATAGTGTTGCATAATTTTTAAAGAGAAAAAACAGGAGAAAAATCTTTGGGATCTAGAGCTAAACAGAGTTCTTAAAGTTGACATCAAAAAAGGAAAAGTGGATACCTTGGACCTCATCAATATTAAAAACTTTTGCTTTTAAAAACTCTGTTAAGAGGATGAACAAATTACAGACTGGGAGAAAATATTTGCAAACCACAGGGCGCCTGGGTGGCTCAGTTGGTTAAGCGACTGCCTTCCGCTCAGGTCATGATCCCGGAGTCCTGGGATCGAGTCCCACATCGGGCTCCCGGCTCAGCGGGGAGCCTGCTTCTCCCTCTGACCCTATCCCCCCTCATGCTGTTTCTCTCTCTCTCTCTCTAATAAATAAATAAAAAATTAAAAAAAAAATATTTGCAAACCACATATATGACAAAGGGCTTATACCTAAAATAGATAAAGAACACTCAAAATGACAGTATACAAAAAATACAATTAAAAATGGGCAAGAGACATGAACAGACATTTCATCAAAGATAATATTTAAATGGCAAATAAACACATGAACAATAATTGTTCAACATCATGAGGGAAATGGAAATTAAAATCCAATGATATATCACTACACAATTAACAGAATGGCTAAAATAAAAAAAAATACTGATAATACCAAATGCAAGAGAAATTGGATTACCTCATATATTGTTTGTATAAATGCAAAATGCTACAGCCACTCCGGAAAACAGTTTGGCAATTTCCATAAAACTAAAAATGCACTTACCATATGACCCAGCAATTACACTCCTGAATATTATCACAAAGAAATGAGAACTTAGGTTAACACAAAAATCTGTACATGAATGTTCAAGCAATGTTATTTGTAATAAAGGCTTGACTGGACTAGGCATTTCAGATGGCTACTTCACTCACATGTCTAGTGCCTGGACTAGGATGGCAAGAACAGTTACAGCATGGCTGGGCATCTTGCTCTCCATAGGATAGCTGGGAGTTCCTGACAGTTTGATAATCTCAAGGTAGTCAGACTGCATACATGATGGTTAGCTTCTCCCAGGCCAAGCATGCCAAGAGACAGAAAGTAGAAGTTGCCAGTTTCTTAAGTCCTGGATCTGAAACTGACATGGTGTCACTTCTGTCATATTCTATTGGTCAAAGCTGTCAGAGAGCCCACCCAGACTCAAAGGTAGACAATACAGATCAGACCTCTCATGGAATGAGGGTCAAAGAACTTGTGGCCATTTTTCAAAAAATAGCTTTATAGAAATAGAATTCATACACAATAAACTGTACATATTTAAAGTATTTAATTATATAAATATGATGTATACAGATATGAAACTGTCACTTACAATCAAGATGGTAGACATATCTGTCGCCCCTAAATGTTTCCTCCTGCCCATTTGTAATCCTTCTCCTCTCTAACCCCTCTACTCACTCAGCCGCCAGAGACCCATTTTCTGTCACTACAGGTTAGTCTGCATTTTCTAGTTTTAGGTAAGTGAAATTATATAGTATACAGTCTTTTTTAATATGGTTTCTTTCACTTAGTATAATTTATACATGCTGTTGTGCAAATACTTCTTTCCATTTATTTGCCAAGTAGTATTCCATTATAAAAATGTCACAATTTGTTTATCCATTCATCTGTTCCTAATTGAAATGCCTCCCTCCTCTTTTTCTTGCCATATCGTACTGGCCAGAAGCTGTATTATGATGCTGGGTAGTAGCAATGAGTGCCCATCTGTTGTTTCTGACCTTAGGGGAAAGAACCCAGTCTTTCACTGTTAAGTTGAGGTTAGCTATAGATTTTTCACAGATGCCCTTTATCAGGTTGAGAGTGTTCCCTTCTAGTCTGATGAGAGTTATTATCAGGAAGAAATGTTGGATGTTGTCAAAAGCTTTTTCTGGTCTAGTTAGATAATAACAGTTTTTCTTTTTACTTAACATGGTGAATTACATTGATTTTATAATGCTCAACAATACCTTCTTGGGATAAACTCACTTGTTTATGACGTATTATTCTTTTCATAGATCATGCCCATTTGTAATATACAACAATATATTAAAGTACAAAAGTACTTTAAAGAAAAGTATAATTCTTTTTGTTTAACAGAAATATTTTAAGAGATACCAATTAAAAAAAAAAGAGGTACCAATTTGCTCAGTACACCTTTACCTTTTTAGTTTTTGAAGAAACAATCTGTTACCACGTGTAATTGATAACTTTCATAGATTTATATGGTTCAATAAAGACTGGAATATCTTTGTTATATTGATACTTCCTCAGTAGTAATGCAATATGGAACTGGGGCAGTACGCTAACAAACGTAACGAGAAACCGGGCTTGGCTTTTTAGATTTGCGGGAATTTCAAAGAACTTCTAACAGCTCTGCAGCTGCGGCTCACAAACATGTCCAATTCTGGTCAGTGAAGATATACTTAAAATACAGGATACAGTGAAGCTTCTAAAAGCTTCTAGTCACCTACTGTCACCTTCTTTAAGCATTAAATAATTTTTGATGATTTTGTTAATTTTCTTAAAGCAAACCCTAATTTTCTTTCCTTTGTAACTTGATTCTTAATAGAAACTCTTATGGGCTGTGGGTTTGACTTCCTCATTTGTATTTGCATATCCAAGAAAAATTCAGAGGCTTCAGAAAAGCATTTGTTAACAGATAGCTGTTCCAATGTATTTTTTTTTTTTTTTTTAAATTTTTAAGTAGGCTCCACGCCCAGGGTGGAGCCCAATGCAGGGCATGAACCCATGACCCTGAGATCAAGACCTAAGCTGAGATCAAGAGTCAGTGGCTTGGGCGCCTGGGTGGCTCATTTGGTTAAGCGGCTGCCTTCGGCTCAGGTCATGATCCTGGAGTCCCTGGATGGAGTCCCGCATCGGGCTCCCTGCTCAGCGGGGAGTCTGCTTCTCCCTCTGACCCTCCCCCCTCTCATGCTCTCTCTCTCTCATGCTCTCTCTCAAAAAAAAAAAAAAAAAAAAAAAAGAGCCAGTGGCTTAACCAACTGAGCCACCCAGGCATCCCCCAATGTATTTTTTTATATGCTGATTGGGGATCCCACTTGCAGTTCTGGTTCTTAGCTTCCTTCACTTAATGGGTTGCAGTCACTCTCCTACACTTTGAAATCTAGATCAAGAGCCCACTTTACTTACATACAGGAAATAGCACAGATGCTCTGCCGCAAGATCAGAATCAATCAGCTGAGGTCCTGCTGTATTTTACTCCTTTTATTTATCTATTTTTTTGGGGGGGGGAGGGGTGGGTATCTTTGTGTGCTTTGCCCCTCAGACTTGGTTCATCCTTCCTATATTAGTGTTGTTTCCTAGATCTTTGGCCTTTGCTGTACCAAGGAAAAATGTCGGCTCCTATCTTTACTTCTTCTACATCTTCAGTTTATCAGGCATTGACATGTGCTTGGCTCTGCCCTGGTCCAAGCTTCTGGTTCCACCACTCTGATCCTAAATGACCCCAGGTCTTGGCGAGATAATCCCACTATTCCTTCAGAGATCAAGAATATTATTCTTCCTTTTGTGGATCTAAAATTATTGTGATTTTACCTGTAATGTTTTTTAGTTTTAATAAACTACGAAACTCAAAACCAAAGTCATACTCAGTGCCTATTATTGTCTCTTGCTATTCCATTAAATGGCAGAAAAATTCCAGGAGAATTTATAATTACTAAAGGTCTAAGAAAACGTCAGACAAGTAAGAAATTATGCAAGTGACTTAATGCTAGAGATAAAAGATAATTTTTTTTTTCCTAGAAGGACATTAATTAGGAAAGTAATTGGAAGAATCTTTTGTGCTCTATTTAGAGCCACTTCATAAAAAGGTATACTAAGTTTCAGCTTGAGAAGATGAGAAAGTTCTGGAGATAGATGGTGGTGATGGTTGCACAATGCAAATAAATGTATATAAAGCCACTGAACTGTACACTTAAAAACAGCTTAAAATGGTAAATTTTATGTTATGGGTATTTTACCATCTAAAACGGTATACTAATAAGTTGCTTTTTAAGATTTGTTAAAACACTCCATTTTAAGCAAAGTGACACCCTCACTTCTTAAAATACTCATGTTAATAAACATTCTCAGAAACTCAGGTTGTTTTCTAAATAATTTAACAAAATGCATGAGCTTCTCTGACTACAGGGTGTGCTGGAGAAAGGAACAGAAAGAGCTTTTTAAAAGAGTAAAAAGGTACTCTTTAGCCAGTGATATTGGGTCTTCCTGTTTACAAAATTGTCATCCAAAACACGCTTTCAAGTTTTCCTGATTTTTGAAAAATGGAGTTCTCAAATGATGCCTCTAAAACTGGAGATTTAGATTACAAATGGCCCCACAAAACTGAAATCCTGAAGGAAAGGATATTTTAGTAATTGTGCAATTGCTAGAACCAGGCAGTAGGTGGCATTTTTGTAGGCACTCAGGGTTTTGGGAATAAAAGATATTGTGCTGAGGAATGCAGAAACCTGGAAATTAGCACGTTTTATAATCAATTGGGATATGATCGATAAAACTGGCAATACAAGGTTTAAATGAAGAGACAGGAGACTCAGCAATTCCTATCCTGAATCTTGTTATGTGTGTGTAAGTATGAAGTTACCTGTCTGGTTTTCTCTACTTTTCCAGGCTAAACTTCACTATCAGTAGTCCAAGTTAATTTCAGTTTGGCATAATGATCTCCCCAAATGTGTAATAATAGTAATACCCCAACCTACTGATTGACTCTAACATCACAAAGAAAGAGAGAGTTCTAGGAAGAAGTCAAGTTTGGAAATCATTAGCACACAGGAATATTTCAAGTCATGAGTCTGGATGAAAATAAACATAGGATTCAATGTTGAGAGGTATAGAGGCATAACCTAGTTTGGCAAAGCTCCCAAACAAGGAATATCCTATTTTCTTGTGCTTCACCAGGCCTCACTGTGCCAAAACAGATCTAACCATTCTTCACCAAGTCTACCTAATCAACATATTTCCTCGATTCTAACTTGTGCTTTTAATTATTAATTTTATTAACAGTTTAAAATCAGAGTCTTTTCCCTATCCCCACCCCCTTCTCTCCTTTCCCTCACCCCGGAAAAACTGCTATCAAATTGATGGTCCACTTTACGACTGAGAAAATAAATGCACTGGCTACAGGTGATTTTGCTTGCAGGGTAAAAGCTTCCTGCTCCACTGCCTGAAACTCTTTTGCAAAGTGCTTTTTCAGGTAGTTTCTTTAATGGTAGTCACAAGTTTGTGGGAGTAATGAGGGGAGAGAGAGGAGGGGCAAAATCCCCCTCCCCTTCTTTTCCTTCTGAAAAGGGTTAGGCACAAGGAGCCTCTAGTGGCTTGTCTGAAGTCTGCAGCGCAATCACAAACAACCGAGGGCCAGGTCTTCCTGCACCCAATCCCAAACTGGACTCTTAAGCTGCTAAAGTTTGAGGTGTGCCCCCGCCAATCTGTCCTATACTCGAGCGGGGACCAGCACAGCGACCCCTAGGAGGCTTTCGACCTCACCCTGTCTTAAGTCCCCAAGGTCGGCGGCCATAGCATATCCTTGCCCCAACCACTTGCGTCTGGCTCTGGTCGCTTACGGGTAGTTCGCATCCACTCGAGCAGCGCTGGGAGGTCCGCCGGAGTCACCGTACGCAGCAGCCTTAGGATCGCTCGCCGCGCCGAGCGGAATTCCATGCTGAAAGCAGAAAACAGCACAGGGAAAGGTTCGCATTGCGCACGCGCAAGCAGAGACGGGTCTCCACGCCAGATCCGACACGGAGGAACCCGCCTCCCCCGGCTGCGAAATCCCTAAGCCCCGCCCCTTTTGGGAGTTCTCACACGCGCCTGGGGAGAAATCCCTACTCTCTAATCGCACCTCCATCTCTCACCACTCCCCTCTCTGCTGGCAGTGCATAGCCTAGCCACTTTTTCTTAAAGTAACTTATCGAGGCCGGAATTCTTTCCTGAGATCGCATCCCTAGAGGGCGTCCTATCTTGCCATTTTGCTGTCGCAGTGACTGAGCGATAGAAAACGGAATGTCAAAAGGCCAGTCGAAGCAAAGAAACCTCTCAATAAACCTTTCCAGTCAAAGCACTGAAAGAATGCGGCAGGTGCCCCGGAAGCGGAAGTGTATCCTTTTCATGAAAGGCTGGACTTCGCTGAGTGGTGACGTTTCCTCATTGGGCGGAAGGTTCGGTGGCAATCGTCGGTCTTCCAGCTGGTGGGAGTTGGCGTCGCGGTGCTGGGCGCTGGAGCCCTAGTTTGTATAGTTTGGGAAGTCGGGCTGTGGGGTCGCACCTGTCTGTCTGATCCCTGCTTTCCTTGGTTTCCTCCCACGGCGCAGGGGCCTCGCGAAAGAATCGCCGGCCCCTTTGGGCCACAGCGGTAGCGGTGCTTTTTGCTGTAAGTATCTTGCTTTTTCCCGCCCCCGACCACGGACTGGCAGCTAGGGGCAGCCTCAGCTGTGCTTGGGGCCAGAGACTCCGAAGGGAGTCGGCTTCCCTGGCCACCGGCTCTCGGCACCGAGACTGAGGTGCACTGGCCCTTTTTCATCTCGTGTGCCCCATCAGAAGTTTTATTAAAAGATGCACTGTGACCCTTTTAAGTTGTTTTCAGATTTACTAGCCAAATTAGGTGTAGGCAATTACAGGCCTGACTCTGCTTTGCTCTCCCGATCAAGAATTTAGATGTGTCTACTTCTCCGAAAACCTTTTGGTGTGTACCAGATTTTATTTTCCCGTGTTCGTTGTGCTTAACACATTGTCCTGCAAATTGTAGGCGTTCAATAAGTGAATAAGGGATATCAGTTCAATGCCAATGATGAATTCAGATATACTGATGGTTTTCTCTGTACATTTGCCACTGTTGACCATTTCTAAAAACTCTTTCCCCTGTTGGCTTCCTTGATGCTATTCTCACCAAGTTCTTTCATATGTTTAATTCATAATATTTACTTTTTCCTATCTATAGGGATACAGAAGTGAATGACACAAACCCTGTCATTGAGGAGCTAACAGTACAGTGAGAGAGAGGCACATAAATGCACATTAAAGCAAGATGAGTAATGAGAAACTCTAGGAAGGTATAAAGAGCTATGAGAGCTCTGGGAACCCAGATGAGAGAACTCCTTGGAAGATCTGTAACCCTGAGCAAGTTGCTATTCCAGTCCAGCCTCAGTTTCCTCATCTATCTAATAAACTTATTATGGGGATGAAAGATTAGATGACCTGTTTCATGCAATGCCTAGAATATAGCAGTGTTGGTGCCAAAGGGGAGAGGAATTATTTCCCTCAAAACTCTTTCTCTTAGTGTTTTCATGTGGTCAGTTAATATTTTCTAATTTGATAAAAGCATCTTCAGGCCCTCTTTCAGTTTATTCCTCTAACTCCACCTAACTGGAAATTCTGGACCCGCCGCTGGAATTTAGTAAGATAAATGGTAGCTTTTTTTTTTTTTTAATTTATTTTCTTCTGTATGCCTTTGGAGAAGGAAAGGAATTAGTAAGGGCTTCTATCCATTTTAATTATTATGTTTTAGTTGACTCCTTTTGTTGGCTCTTTACCATCCCGTGGTCTTTCACAGGCTGTCCTTGAGAATTCTCATCTACGTCCTTGGCTTCCATGGCATTATCTTTGTTCGCTAACCATTTCCAAACTTCTCTAACTTCTCTTTTTTCCCCTGTAACTTCTGTCTCATGAATGATAGAGTTCTTTAGTTTCAATAGGTCCCAAACCAAATTTACTACCTCCACTTCCCTTTTTTCCACTTTTTCATTGTTACGTATATCATACATAGGAGCTTTGACTCCTTGTTTCTACCTGAATTTTGTGATATTTGTATGTTCAATTTTAAAAACAATAATAAAACGAACCCCTATGTACTCAGTATCCAACTTTAGTAGGACATTACAAAGTATTATAGCAGATGTACTCAAAATCCCACTTTAGTAGAATATGACAAATACAACATTACAAAACCTTAAAGCCTCTTGAACCTTTTCTCTGGTTACTCTTTAGCTTTCAAACCAGCATCTCTTTTTTGTCTTCCCTTCATTGGTTAATGGTATCCCTGGCCATCTGGTTACTATTTGAGACCTTGGAGTCACTTTTGCCTTTTGTTTCTCCTTCATTTCCCACAACTATTTGGTGATTAGGTCCTTTAGCTTCTGCTTGGGCTTGACTTGATCCATTCTGCTTTCTGCTTCCCTGGTGCAAGCCGACATGCCTCCACCAGACTTTTGGAGTATGATTACTATGATTAGGACTGTAGTCTCCTTGCTCTCAAGTTTTTCTCCCTCCAGTGTATTTGCTACATTGACTCTAATTTTTAAATTATGGAACAGATTTTTCTTTCTCTTGTTTCCTTTGAGGAGTATTGTTTCATATAGTGATTTTTATGCCTGGTTGCCCTTCAGTATAGCCAGTGAAGTTTTTCAAAATATAGATACCTTGTTTTACTCTCCTAATCAAGAAGTTAGATGAGGCCAGCCACTTCCCCCAAAACCTTTTCATGGTACTATCCTTGGAGATTCTGATTGAGTATTTAATTTGCAGTGGATAGGTGTTAGGTACATGTAGCTGAAATAACAAAAATATCATATACCTCTTATTCCTCCTCATCCATGCTTTTAGTCTATGGTCTTTTCAACTTCAGGACAGACTATTGCCAAGGAATTCTTTTGACTTTGTTTTAATCTTGGTAACAGTTTACATAAAGATCCTTGTTATGATCGACCTGATAGCCAATAAAGGATCTTAAATGATTCTCACTGTTTTTGAGTTATTACCCCTTGTTGCTAATTGAATTGTTGGTATACCTTTTCTACTATCAAACTATGAAATGTTGCACTGTTTTTTTTTTAATATTAAAGGGAGTTTTAAAATTTGGAAACAGATTATTTTAATGAAGAGAGAATTTCCTGATACTTCTTGCATAGTTAAATATAACCTTTGGTGCAGAATTAAAGCAGTTAAGTCAGTGGTGGTATGATGTATAATTGATCTTTTGAAGTCAACAGAGGAGTCTTGTCTGTGTTAAGTTGATGTAATTTATTGATTTGGAGTTAGAACTTTTCTCATGCTGGTATGATTCATGGAACACATAGTAGATATTGAATGAATGAATAACTAAATGAATTCAAGTGGCAATTCCATCTCAATCCCCAGTATAATATCACCGTATTTCTCACAAGGAGCACTGTGAAAAATAAATTTCCCTTTGATTTAAAAAATAATAGTCTTAGTCATTACCAAAAATTTGGAAATTACAAAAAGATGTAAATAAAAAAATAAAGATGACTAGTTGTTCATCATCCGGAAATGACAAATGTTACTATTTTCTAACAGTTTTACTGAGACAAAATTCACACGTCCTACAGTTCACCTAAAGTGTACAATTCAGTAGTTTTTAGTGTATTTACAGAGTTGTGCAAGCATCACCACAATCAATTTTAGAACATTTTTATCACTCCATGAAAAAACTCCATGCTCATTAGTAGTCACTCCTCATTTTCCCCCAACTCCTGAGCCCTAAGCAACTATTAATCCACTTTCTGTCTCTATAGATTTACTTTTGGACATTTCATATAAATGGAATCACAGAGTATGTGGCTCTTTTGTCACTGGTTTCTTTCATGTAGCATAATGTTTTCAGTATTCATTCATGTTGTAGCATGTATCAGTGCTTCATTCCTTTTTATTATCAAATATTCCATTTTATGGATATTTGTGGATGTGTGTGTCTTACTTTCTCTTGGATGTACCTCCAAATGGAATTGCTGGGTCATATACAGTAACTCTATGTTTAACATTTTGAGGAATTGCCAAACTATTTCCAAAGGACTATACCATTTATATTCTTACCAGCAGTGTGTGAGGGTTCTGATTTCTCCACATTCTTAACCACATTAGTTATGTCTTTTTGACTATAGCCATTCTAGTGTGCGAGAAGTAGTATCTGGTTGTGCCTTTGATCTGTATTTCCCTGGAGGCTAATGTTATTTTTTGATATTTGTTTATAGACAAAAATGGATTATACAATATATGCAGCTATGTATTCTGCCTTTGCATTTAAGCATATTTTTAGCATTAGCAAGCGTGTTTACAAAAGAATTTCCCTCATTACTGCTTCCTTTTTCACTCCCCCCAAACCATAATTCTTGTGAAAACTTGCCTAAATTATATGCAAAGAAAACAAAGTCTATAGGAACGTATACCAAATTGTTATTGGTGGTTATCCAGGGGACAAGAGGCTGTAAGATTAGGGGAATTATATTTTCTACCTTTAGTACTTCTGTAGCGTTTGAATTTTTACAATGAACGTCTATCTTCCTGTAATCACAAAACATAAGTTATTATGAATTATTTCTTTGGAGGACTAAGATTCAGAATGAAAAAGTATTCATAAATTTAAAAGTCATAATTAACATTATATTGTTATTCAAATAGAATAATTTTAGCAAATAAGATGCGTATAGGCCACTTGGTTAGATAAATTTACTTTTCTGATATCCTAGAATATGAATACATATACTACACAGGATTTAAATATATATAGATATATTTAGTATTATAGTGAGGAAAGCAAGTATTGGTTTGGGCTATTTGAATAGCTTCTGGAAAGGTATATAATGTAGAATTGAATTTTCAATTCTACATTAGTAGTAGTAAATACTACTACTAATATATTAATTTAGTTTTTTAGTCTAATATTGATCCAATAAATTAGTCACTGACTAGGGCTTAGAAGAACTTTTTTACAGGAATTTTCATTGTAATAGGATTTGAAATCTCCAGTCGTTAGGATCTGTTTATATAATCTCAGACCAGGTAAGGTTCTGGCAGGA